TTTTTTTTTTTTTTCAGGCTGTCAATTCTGCTATTGCTAAGTAGAAATGATTTAGTGACTGGGTCTGTTTTAATATGTAACTTAAATTTAAAAGAATGCTCTCGCTCCACTAAATAAATTTTGAGCCAATAACGCAAGAAGGGCCTGTTCATCAGTCTGCGCCGAGACCCCTGTCTTCGTCCAGTCCCCATCCTAGCTTTGATTTTGTTGGCATCTTGTGAATGTCTTCAGGTGTTTTTTCTTTAGTAACTGGGGCAGGACATCTGGAATAACCAGACCACAACATCTGTGGTGACTCAGTCTATTTATACTTTTTCGGGTGGTGAAAGAAATAGCAGAGCTGTTCAGCCTGACAAACTGTCTAGAAGCCAAGGATTTTGAGAAACTGCCATGTCAGCTTGGCGAATACCTCTTCTGCTCTGACCATGGAAGTGGGGGAGGGGGATCTAATAATAGACACTTGCAAAGTAAATTACAGACCAGACACATATTGATGGCCATCATCTAATCACATTGATTCACAAATATGTAGTAAAATAAAATACCTGTAGACGTTGGGCTCCTGGACATTGGTCGTGTACACCGGCTGCACCTAACACATATTACAAGTGACAGAGAAGGAAGATGAATTTTGTTATTATTATGTCCGTGTTTGTTGCCACTCACACTGGGAGATGTTTCTAGCTTATCTGTGAGATCTCCTTTCACAAGGCAGAGAAATACCAGCCATTCCACTGAGCAAGGCCAAATTCTAAGCAGATGAGCTGGCATGTAAACAAATAGTGGGCCTCTCCCTGCCTCCAAACACTGAAATAGAGGTGTCAGTCATCGTCAGGAACCATGCCACAAACAAAATGAGTCAGAGCAAAGCCCTTGAACCAGAGAGGATGGAGTCTAGGGGAAGAGGCTCACATGATTAAATTTGACACAGAGAAATAAATAACATGTGACACTAAGAGGACTTGGCCAGCCGTTCATTTATTTAGCACACGTATTTATTGAGCGCATATTTATGTATATGCCAGGGCCAGAAATGTAGTGGTCAAAAAACAAAACAAAGGCACTAAAACTGTCTCAAAAAAGATCAATTAACTAATATGTGAAATCATCCAGGGGGTGGGTGACCAGAAATGGGGGAGAGATGGCAATTAAAAATCCATGGATCAGGAAGAGCAAGGACATAGGGGAGGGGAGAAAGTAAGCAGACCACAGGGGTCACCGGTCTAGGGAGAAAGTGCCAGGAGCATTCGTAGGACAAGTGTCTTGGAGGCCTGTCTGTAGAAAGGGGAGTTTCCATGTTCACTGCCCCACCTAACGAGGGTGGGATTAAGCAGCAGGAGTGTAACATGGGAGTTATTTAACAGGGAAGGCAGGTGGGCTCACCGGACACAGGAAGCAGGACATGGGAAGACACATCAAGAAAAAAGGCCCACTTGCTTCTTGACTTTGGACTTGGACCAAGACGTGGGGCCTTGGAGGAGACATGTGAAGTCTTGGAGGAGACACTTGAAAGAAATGTGGCTGAGAGGCCTGCGGGAGGCTGACAGTGGCAGTCCTTACCTGGATTTCTACTTTGATTTGCTCCTCTGGCCCAGACTCGCCTGGCCCCTCTGGCCCCTTTCCTGTAGTCTCCTGCCAAGAGGCGCCTTCGACCTTTGGCAAGCTTTGGGCTCCACTTCTGGCCAACCCTGTTTGGCTGGACATTTACCCAGCAGGGGATGGGTAACTTTGGTGTTTTAGTTGGAAACTGATATGCTTTCTCTTTTTATTTCTATGCACATTAACACTATTAAAGTGTTTTCCACTAAATCGCCTTGGTCTGTGTGTGGATGGCTGGAACCCAATATATAATGCAAGTTAGGGGATCCCACGTTATCCTCTGTCATACACTAACAAAAGATTAGTGTGGCCTGAACAGAAAGAACCAATGAGATAGGTTAGGAAAGTGCATTAAGACAGTAAAGTAGGAACTAAAAGTAATTAACATTACATAATTTTGAAATATGTCTCGCTTGACCACAGCTTGGTTTTATTATAGTGGCAGACCTCTAAAATAATTCAGTTTCAAAATAAAACTTTTATGGAATATTCTTAAACTACACATAACGTTGATGATTAAAGCAAAATCAGACCTCAGATTTTAAAAAATCTTTGATATTGATTATTTGAACATTTAAGAATAGTACATTAAGTAATTGTTCTTGATACATATTCATGTTTGTCAATCAGTTTCTCAGCATTGTCTCTGGTAATGTGATGTGGACATTATTCTGAAAATGGCTTTTTCACTTGATACTGTTTTCATAAAAAGGCATCTTCTGCAAAGATGTATTTTATCGTTAACATACTTAAAATCATTGACCCTTTTAATTGATACCACTCTCTCTCCACCTTCATTTTTTAAAAACACCATAATTTTTTTTT